GTCCTGAGAAGTTCGTGCACCAGATGCTACAGCCCAAGAAGTTAGTGTCGCACACCCAAAAGAGATCAGCGAGTCGCGGTCACGAGAGATTGGAGATTGACACGGACGGCAGAGGTCAGTAGGTCAAGGACAGCAGAGGTCAAGGGTCACACACCCAGAACAACGTGGTGCGTGCTCGCTACAGGTTAGTGGGTCAAGAGAGACCGGAAGGCTGGCGCTCGGCGTCGACGTGCCCCGCAGCACACACCTTGCTCCATGGGCTCGGTCCGGGCCTGGATACTGGGGCTGAGCGGGCCGGCGCCTTTGCTGGTGCGCGCGCGGACCCTGACGTTGTATGTGGTGTCTGGCGCGAGGCCGCGGAGCGTGAGGCGGGTGTCCTCGGTGATGTTCTGCAGCTCCCGCTGGCTGTTGATGTCGCGGAACACCACACTGTAGTTGGTGATGCGCCCGTTCCTCTCGGCCAGCACCGGTGGCTCCCAGGCCAGCTCCGCAGTTGATGTGGTCACCCCGACCACACGCAGGTTTTGGGGAAAGCCGCTGGGCACGTCCTCGGGAGTCATGATCTCCTTCTCAAACTCCTCACCGGGGCCGGCCCGGTTCTTGGCGGCCAGGCGGAAGATGTAGGTGGCCCCCTTGTGCAGGCCGATGACCGTGAAGTGCTGGTCGTCCTTGCCAAAGTCTATGGTGGTGGGCTGGGCCTCGTCCGCCCGGCGGTACTGCAGCCGGTAGCCCAGCAGCTCCCCCGGCAGCTCTTTGGGTGGGTGCCACTGGAGCAGGGCAGTGTTCATGGCCGTGGCACTGACCATCATGGTGGGTCGGCCTGGGACTGAACAACCACGCTGGGCTCTGGGGCTGCCCTCCTCGCGGACCGCCCCCCGGCTCATGCTCGGCTCAGGTCTGAGACACCGGCTCCTTGCTGAGCCGGATGGGAGCTCACGCCCCTGCAGAGCATCGAGGGATGTCAGCCTAACAAGAGGTCCTGGGCATGAGTGACCCTTATCCTCACTAGACAGGGCTCGGCCAAGCTGACTGAGAGGGGAAAACCCAAGATTGCAAACGCTTTCGGGGACTAGCGGGCTGTAAGGCTCCCCCACCACTGCCTCCAGATCCAAGGGCTGCAGTGTGCTGGGAGACCCCGGGGGAGCCACAGCAGACACCTCCTGGGGATTCTCTAGAAGCCTTCAAGGAATTCTCTAGCAACTCCCAGGGGGCTCCCTGCCAACCCTCTCCTTGGTGGCCCCCCCTGGAATCCCTCTCCCCAGAGAGGGCAGGCTGCCAGCTGAAGAGAGTGATCTCAAGTACCAGCATGCACTGTGGGAGCCACCAGGGTGCCGGGGCCCTGCCTCCCCTCGCACCTCGTCCAGCTCCAGCTCCTCAGGGGTGCTCCAGCGCGGCGTCAGCATGTTCCCGCCCTCCCGGTCAATGGGCACCACCACGATGTAGAACCACCTGCGAGGGCCGGGCCAGCATTAGGGCTGCCACCCCCCTGCCTCGCCCCCAGCCCAGCCCCGGGATGGCGCCCGCACACCTGACAAGGGAGGGGTCCTGCACCAGGGGCATGGACAGGGTGAAGCGGCCGTCCTCGATGTAGGCAGAGGCAGGCTGTGGCTTGTGCGGCAGGAGGTCGGGGGCCGTGCGGATGGACACGAGGTGCTGTAGGCCCCCGGCGCTGCTGCCCCGGCTCATCAGCACAAATGAGTACTCTGTGTTCGGCTGCAGGTCTGCGATCAACTTCCGCATCAGGTGCCCGTCCACCTCCACACTCTGCCCGTTGTAAAGGATCTGCAGGGCGGGGACGGGGGTGACGGGACAGTGAGGGTCCCCTCAAGGCCAGCAAGGCAGAGGCCCAAACACGCACCGCCCCCCCACTCGGACCCCGCCTCACAGCCATGCGCGTGTGGACACACGGGGGCCCTGGAAGTGGCTCACTGCTCGGCTGGGCGGGGCTGCCCCTGCCCACCTTGAAGGGGACCGCAGACTTGTACGAGTCGGGGATCTCCCAGCTGAGCAGCACCGACGTCTTCATTGCAGCCGCCACGCGGAAGTTCTTGGCAAACACTGTAGGACATAAGGAGGGAGGGAGGGGTCGGCTCTGACTGGGGTGGGCTGGACGGCCCGAGGGCTCCCCACCAGGAGGACACAGGCTGGAGGCAGTTTTGTTCCAGAGCAGCTGCAGCCCCGCGAGCAGACCCACGCCCGCCAACGCCAAACCAGTTCTCTTCCCAGCCCGAGCTTCGGCGGGGGTGGCACACCACCACAGGACCCCCAGTCGGATCTCCAAAGGGGCTCTGGGAGCCCGAGCAGACCACGGTCAGTCAGAGCGGCCAGAGGAGAGCGGACTCC